ATTTTTGTATTTTATAATATTTTTTCCAATTATAGGCCCACGAAAATATATTTGTTTTTCATATTGCTGTATAAAAATGTAACTAATGTTGTTCGTTTAATGAGCATGAGACATAAAAAGGTACGTATGGTCAACCCGTTGGTATAATATAATTATGTGTTAATAACTATTTTGATGCATTAAAATATTATTAATTGTAGTTCTTAATACAAATTATAAAAAGTCTATTACACATTATAATTTTATAATTCATTCTGAATTATTTAAGTGTTTATTTAAAACCTAATAAAATTAAATTGAATTAAAATAAATACAATATTTTAAAAAAGAAGAATTGTTTAAAAATAATTAATACTATTATTATTAGCTTTATGTTTTCAAGAAAAAAATACGAAAACCAAACATAAAAACCCATTTGAATAATTCAATAGTATTATATCAATGAAACAAAAACAAAAATTTTTTCAAAAAAAAAAATCATTTTTAAGCTTTATTCAATTACATCCAAAGGGAACTCTAAAAATTAAAAATACATTATACATACATACACACCAATGGAAATATATGGTTTTTAAAGAAATTAGAGATAAACGTTCAGACAGATGACAGGAATTTAAAAGTTCTATATGTTTTCAAAAGTTTGTAAGTATAAGTCAGAAAAGTTATCGAAAAACATTTGGAAAAAAAAAATTTTCCAAACACAAAACATTAACCACTTTAAGAAATATATTATGATTGAAAGTTTTAAAATAATCCCAAAAATATTTAAAAAGTTAATGCATTCCTATGATTTTCTGTCAGTTAATGTTGTATAAAACTTGTCAGTCTAAATAAAAATACCTTCTTAATATTTATTTTCAATCACGAAACCTGTAAAATTAAATGTTTTATCTTAAATGAAAAACTTATAAATGAAATGACAATAAAAACTATTCTGTTAATTTTAACCGAAGAAATATATGAACTGAACGATTTTTGAAAAGAATAACATTGTCAAGTAAATTATTATCTAAAACTATCGAATTACAAATAGCATATTTTTTTAATACTTACAATCGTAAATGGATGGTACAAAAAAAATTTATTATCAATCCAATATGATATTTTAGTTCAATAATTTAAGTACATAGTAGTAAAATCTATATATATATATATGTATATATGTTTCAGATTCTATATTTATTTACGTTTGAGTGATTGTGTGTGTATTCTCTATCTGTAAAAAATACGGTTTTGTTTTAACAAATATTTATTTCCGTTTCAATAACTTTTTACATTACATAAAGTACCACTTATCAGCATTTTGGTAAGTACGTCTTGTATGCTTATAGGTTATATCCAACCATTATTTTGTCAAGTTGATCTAAAAAAAAAAAAAAATAAATGAGTAAAAGAGAAGAAATATAGAAATAAAGTAGAAAGTGAGGGAGTGAGAGAAAATGGTAAATGATGGAAGATGGAATGGGAGACGGATATCCCTCTTTATCGATTTATATTTTTCACGTTTTCAATAATACAACGCGCACATAACATATATATATAACTAACCCAGTGAATCCTTTTCTATCGCCTACTTGGTTTACGACTACTGGTGCACCCCGTCACCGTTTGGAAAAGAATATTTTTAAGTACATAAATTTTACGAGTCTCGCATGAATTTAACAGGGCGCATTATTGCTCTGGAGAACGCAATAAAACATGCAATGGTTTCTTTTGTGCAGACCAACACCACAGTCACTACCGCGAAAAGACTCAGTCGTGACGAAGGACAATATAAGTATTCACAATGTATTCTCACTTTAGAGTTCTTCAGACAGTCCGCCATAATGCAGTGTTAAAAAAATGTACTGAATAAAACAAACTGCGATACTGATAATATGAGTAGCAATGTGAATACGATGACGTGACTTGGTATAATACAACATTGATACGACGATCGGCAACAGTGTGTTAACGAGAGTGATATGATCGACAGCTCCCTTAGCGGTTAGTTTTTGTTCATAAATTTTTCAATTTTAATATTACTTTCGTGATTCATGACAGTTGAAAATTATTAATTGGATACGACAGAAATAGATTTTTTTGTCTTTGTTCTATTTATTTTCTATTCGATTTGTACTTCGTTATTATTTAGTTAAGACTGAAAATATGTAAATTATGTTACTAGAGTCATTGTTAAATTAATATCTCATTCCTTCACCTAGAATAAATTCTAAATAAATCACTATTGAATGATATATAAATAAACATAATTGACACTTTTTCAGCAACCATATAAAAGTATCTTTTGAACGAATCGCCGAATTCAATTGTTTCCCGCGTACGCACGTTGCAACAATATCATCAACGTGTGTGATCATTTGTTGGGTAGCTGATAATGTTTTTATAGTAATCTCGCTATATCATTCGATCGTGATGCTACATACGTATATGTACAATACGTATACGAATACGCGGCGAGTAGTCAGCAAATAAATTTTGGCGCAACGGCGCAACGAGACGACAAATATTATTTTGAAAGCGGTGGGAGGGTATTTAGTACTCCAAAAACACTCGGGGCTTTTAAGGAACGCGTTTCCGAAAACAACGATTCCTTGTATTGAATTTTTTTCCGAACGACAAACAAATATAATAGGGTACGGTTTCCATTACTTTTCAAAGTAATAATATAATACAAAATCGATATTTAGGAAAAATAATGTTAATATTGTTATTATTTTGTTCATCTCGAAAATATGTTGTAAACGAACAAAAGAGAAGGCAACAAAAGAAAAAAAATGCACTTCAAACTTTGTATTTATGTGTAATTGGCGAGACGGCATTTCAAAGATGTTTTTCTCAAATCGATTTTGAATATTATTTTTCGGAAAGGAATTTATAATTCAAATATCTATTTGAATACAAATTAAAAGCAAATTACCAACCGTTTTTTGGGGTGGAATTCGGTAAAGAACGAGTTCCTTTTAATACCAGAGAAACGAAAAATTGAATAGATTCCAAAATAAAAATACCGTAAACAACACCGACAATACGGTATACGCACTTATTTGTCTAAATCACGTTATAATTTCACTCTTGGTTTTATAGCACGTTCTAAGTTAATAGTCTAATATACGTAGAATGTATAAATTGCATTATTATACCCTATAAATCTGTTGTGTACGCATATCTTAACCCACATTATTACACCAAAGTTAATATATCAAACAATTATAGAACAAAGATGGTGGAAGTCGTGTGCTCGCGGGAGAATTGAGTTTAATATCTTAATACTGAAAACTGAGTGGTGTACTACAGTAACACCAATAGAGCTAAGTCTGATTATTGCAATCATATATTGATGTAGTTTCAACTTATAAACATATTGCGTTCTAGATACTATTGTCAGTGGTTTCTGACACAACTCTGAAATCATTGCTCAACATTTCAACTATCGAAAACGTTAAAAAGTTTTTATGAAGATTCTGAACTCTTAAACCAATACTTAATTTCATCTCTATTCTGATTAATGAAATACATTTGAACTGGTTGATATTACTTTTTTTTTTTAAATAGTTTTAAATATCCTACACAATAATCGCAAAACTAAAATAATAATAATAAATATTATTATTTATTTATTTTTTTTTTTTTACATGTACCTTTCCTAGGATTGTTTACAAAATAATAATAAATTGAAAGAAAAAAATCAGTACTAATGATTTGTTTACAAACGAAAAATGGTTTTTCTCTATTCAAACGGTCGACCTAATGTTATTCAATAAAATTATTTTTGTGATTTTAAATATTTACCAGCATATCAATGACAGTTATTATGTTTTTACTTTACGGGAAGTATAAAATCAACAAAATGTTCTTATTTAATACTTTTGACCCTTGACATTTTTCCAAAATAAATGACATCAAGGAAATATTTTTATGACATCACATGCCACTGTACTATATACCTACTTTATTTTTCCTTTGCCTTTCGTTACAATTCTTCGAATTTTGAGAACCTTTACTATCTATTAAAAATTGTTGGTTCAGCTTTATTATAAAAAAAACAAATTCAATATAACAACAGATTAAAGGTTTAAAATTTAATTGTTTTAATACTGTTTTAACATTTCTTTATAATTAACTTTCAAAACAAAAATCTAATTTTAAAAGCTCTCCTTATACTAATTCTGCATGGCATGATGATAATGTATTTTTAGATTTGAATATAATTTATCATATATATATATAGGCATTGAATATAAAAATATAAATATAGGATAAAATAAACGAATCGTCACTATTCATAAAAATAGAATATTTTTCAAACTTTATAAATTATATGAAAAAAATTAGCTGTGCTAAATCTTTCAAATTAATAATTTTTAATACTACGGTGAAATGTCTTCAAGTAAGCTCGAATAAAATAGTTGGTTGCAAAAACTTAAAATTAGTAGTTTTATTAAAATGTATATCAACATTATTTTCAAGTTTTTTTTTTTCCTTACACTTAGGAGAACTTCTGGAATAATTGAAACTGCCCATTTAAACATCCGTGCTCAGTTTTTGATCTAGAAAGTTGCTACATGGGTGATTCATATTGACTATCCAAAAAAAGTGCTAATTGGCAAAAATAAAACCCCCTATTATAAACCTAATATATTCAACGTTTCATTGAATATCGTTTACACTAATGGCAATTTACAAAATTATCTGTTGAACAATTTTATTACAATATTATGGTGAACCATAACAACTCATTCTCTACATTCAATAAATGATTGCCCGAGATTTAAAATAAAAAAAAAAACCGCTTTAAATATGCCTTGTACAAATTACTTGATTTTCATTATTGCTCAAGTGGTCATACCCAAGCTATTGCGTAATATCACAGTACATAATATCGTTTAACGTTTTGAAAACTAGTTACTGGATTGTTCTCAATTATTATTTCCCTTGTGGAACATATACACAACTTAACTACTTTTAAAACTGATGAAAATGTTCTCGTAATTTTTCAGGTTATATTGGTGTTGAAAAGCATCAACTATTATGAAATCACAGCCATAAGTGTCGTCGTACAAATAGTTAGCCATTGTCTAGCGTACACCAACTCATGTCTGAACCCGATATTATACGCATTTCTATCGGAAAATTTTCGGAAGGCATTCAGAAAAGTGATAATTCCGTGGAGACCGGAAGTAAACGCACCTGGAAGATTTGCAAATGGAGACGCCCGGTCGATGGCTGTCACCAGGACGACTAGGACTAATAACGACATACTCTGAAATTGTGGACGGAAATAAGCAAATGAAAATCAATAAGAGAAACATTAAAGGTACTTATCAAATTAAAAATAAAAATTTAATAAAAACATTTTAAATAAATTATGAATAATGTATAAACAAATTTTAGTTTGCTTTAAAATCACAGTCCATGCAGAACATATTTTTCTGAGGTTGTTTGCTTAAAATCAACCAAGTGAATTATTAAATTATAGTGCTTATATATTTATGAAGATGTTTTATATCTTCTCTTTTTCTCCCTCTTAGAATAACTATATGGCGAATAAAACATTATTGTAAACATTAAATAACCGAAATTCGGTTGAAAAAAAAAGTAACCATGGAAACCACTAAATCAACAGTGTTACAAGTACTTCAAAATGATCACTTTCTTATTTTTTGGTAAAAATATAAGCAGAAAATTGCCTTTCTTAATAAACGTTGGAAAATTTCATCAAATGTTATTGTGCAAATAATGAAAATAATAAATGTCTTACAATGTAAAACTTACAACTTTTTAAAATATTATCAATACTTTGTATTGTTTTGAAAACCACAAGACTTCATTGAGGAAAAAAAAACTAGTACAATTTGAATTAATTATATACAATTTTGATTATGATACCAGAAACAATTGAAAATAATGTTTAAGAAATGTTGAGCATTGCAAAAAAAAACCAGTGTATTGAATTTTACTTTTCGTTAATAATTTATTTACAATATTCAAATGCAAAGACATTACAAGGTGAACCAAACGTCACAATATATCTTAAGTGTTCGGTGACACCACTTCACGCATCCACTAACTTTGCCGTTTTAATTTTTAATTCTCTAATACTCCAAATAAAAAAGCATTAATATCTGTTAAAAGCATTAATATCTTTTATAGCCAATACTTATTTTTAACAAATTTCCATAACGTATTATCGGAAAAAAAGCTTTTTTCCGGAACCTTTTTCTGTATTATATTTTGTATCCTGTTCATCGTGTGAGGACATTATAAGCTTCAAGTGTAAAGCTAAACTCATTAATATGGAAATAAGTAACGAACATTTTTAGACATTGTTTTTCTTTTTAGAAGATAGATTCTGCCTGGATTGTTCATCCTGGACGGAATGCAGGAATAGTGATCGGTCTTGTGAATCCGCATTAGATTCTTACCCTCATCATACGAGGGTTTAAATAATGGAACTTCTAAACTAGAATTCAATAAATTTAAATTAGCATAAATTGCTACTGCATTCCATGCTAATAAAAATTTAAATAAATCACTTTTCCCACCTAGGTACCTGTCTACATTATTGTATGGCTATACTGAAGAGTAAATAATTTTTTGAAATATATTTAAATTTATAATTATTAATAAATCAACTTGCCAGTTGTTGCTTTAATTAATACACTAACACCGTTCCATCGTCAATCAAATATTTATGTTTTGTCTTTATCTGACATGATAACTTCAATCATTTTAAATTCATATTTTACTAAATACTAACCTACAGTAAATTCTAAATAAATAAACAATAACTTGCTTCACGTTATGTGTGAAATTGTATTTTTTCAAATTATTATTTCCAAATTATGAAATCCTCGACAGTGAGTTGTTTGATCACGATACCAACGTTTAATTATTAAATTTAAAATTAAATTGAGAACAAATAAATTGTAATAAATAATAATTAAAAGTATTCTACAGCTTTCAACTACTCAATAAAACAATTCGTGGTACCATTGTTATTAATATTGTTAATATTATTGTTATATATAATTTATACAGTAGGGTTTACAGTAATATTTCGCGGAATAACTTTGGTAATAATTTAACCTATAGGGTGTGATATTAAAAAAATATATATATTCTCTTTGAATTTAATAAATGTAAACGTTCTGAATCTAAAAGGAAAAATATATCCAAAAAAACGAGCGAGTGAAATAAAGTATAGTAAACTCCTACACAAAAAAGTGTTGAGTATGTTGCAGTAACATAACCATATTCAAAAACAACCAAGTTTAATTTCTTTAGCCTCCTTCCCCCTATCCAAATGTAAATATATATCTTTAACAAATTATTTTTACCCTTTTCTAAAAATAAAATTTATTAATTATATTTACTCTAAATATTTGTGAACTAATACAAGTCATATACATATTACATATATAAATATATATATATATATATATATGTTATAAAATATAATATATTTCGTAATTAGTATTTAGATTTTGTAACGTTGAAAAGTAATAAAATTAGAAACCTTATTCTCATATTTTATCGTTAAAGAATTTATAATATTTATATTTCATCTAATTAAAATAAATTATGCATTCATAATATTTAAATAAATTCATATAATATAATATATTATGTAAAGTAAAATCAACATGACTATAACTTTAATTTATTGATTATTTAGATCAATATGTAAGCATTTATGTTTCAACCACATAATTATTTAAATTAATTAAAATTGTATTTCCAAACATACAATCTATAATGATTTTATTACAATTTTAGAATTATAAAATATAATCCTATGGTTATTTAAAATTAACATCTTAAAAAGAAAACATAATAAAACTAGGTCATTTTTTAATCTAATTATATTGCTGTAACAAATTTCATGACAATTTATGACAAATTTTTTATGGCAAAATAAAATAAATTTAATAAAAAAAATATTATTCATTTTATTTTCCGTATTTTACATCCGACTCTTTACAGCATTGTATATTATTCCGATTTTAAATAATTAATCAGTAGTAATTATGGATATTCAAATTGAATTCCCCTGAATTTTGTATGCATAAATAAATTAATATTATGTGTGAGTTGTGAGTTTATTGTACATATTCCGTAAAAAAAAAAAAATAAAAAAATGTCGCTCCGAAACGGTTTATATCGAAATAGCCTCTTATTCGAAACGTCTGGTTGGTTTCTCCACATGCTTTACATATAAAGTGGGTATTATAATATTTCAATGAGTGAAATTTTTTAACGGAATTCTTCTCTATAGCTTAATTTATATTTAATTTTCAAATGTTTTTGATGGTGATCACAATTACCCTTTGTACCAGTTGTGAAAATATGTTTTTCTTTTATCCATCGTAAAAATATACCGATACTTGAAAATAGCTCATTTAATTTCTATATACCTACCAGACGACAAACAAATAAAAATACATGCTTTGCACTGAAAATAGTTCTTACCGATATCGTCAAACAAAAGTTTTTTTTAGAATGAAAACTCGAACTACGCATCGACTACCTACTATATTATTCCCAAGTGCATGAAACGTATCATAACAAAATTTAATGGAATCCGGCATGTTTTAAATATTTCGTTGAGGGAAACTGTGAGACGAAACGAATGAACACAATTTTGTTTAAAACTGATCACGAATATTTAATTTCATCAAAAAGCAGCCCCGTAGAGTTGTATTTTAATCATAATTGTTGTTCGGCCCGACTATTTATATAACGCACACCTTGGAATAAGTTATTGCGAAATACTGCGAAGAGTAAATGAAAAATAATTTTATTGAACAATATTCTTTTACGATGCTCCCGGAATCGTCATGAATCGTTTTGAAAATAATAATGATCAAGAAAAATTAAATAAACAACAAACCATTAAATTCATAAGATGTTTTTCGTGCTGAATATTTTATTTTGACCGGTGAAACATTACATTCTACTAGGTATACATGTATTAGTCTTCGTTGGAAACGGCAAGAAATCGCCAATGGCAGCAGCTGCACTGCCATCAATAATTAACAACGAAGACGATCAACTTAAGCATTATTGTACTATAAATCAACGGCTCAAGAATTTATTTAAATAATAAACATCAATCGCATTGATCAAAACTAATGGTTACACTTTTATCCACATGTATAGTGGATGTACTGTAAAATAACCTAATTACATTCATATCATAATATAGTCTTTTGACTATAATTCGATGAAGTTTTTTATGGTACGTTGAGTATTATTTACACGTATTTGACCACGATGGAACGCTTTTTTTTCTTTTTAATCATAATTTCAAACGCACAGTTCTAATGGAGTTCAACAGGAGACCAACTCAACACAATAATGTTATAGTGGTTAATGATTAAGTGCATTCGTTAGTTATTTCATTAATCATTTGCGTTTTCCGTTGAGGTTTATCACATTTGGGAAGCAGGTCTAGTGCACAGGCTGCTGGCTCTTTTTACCTGGATCCAGTTAGTAAATATAATATAAACACATTATAGCTGGTTCTTGGCTAGTCCCTTCGGATAAATGGATTCAATAGCTGACGTGTACAGCGTTACTAGATGTGTGCCAAGTGTATACGTAAGCATTAGTGAACGTGATTCGTCCTCTGTTTAACGATCTGCCTGTAGACGAAGGATCCGAGAGAAGTCGTAATTAAACTTTTCCTCAAGTGATTTAACATATTTCGGGTCTAAACTACATTGTCGTGCGAAGCTTAATAATAACCTCGGGTCCAATGTTATGATTCTATCGCGTGGAATGTTAATCAATACAAGTATTATAGTTTCTAAAGCATCACTTAACTATGAAATTTCCAACGTACGATAGTTAACATTTCATCCTTCAGTGATTACAATAAACGACACAATGCACTATTTTTTACACATTTTACTAACCGAGGCCGTATATCATTCTCATTATAAATACAGCAAATACGCAATAAAGTCGATATTCAGAAAGGATTGTCTGAGGCAATTTTCCATTTTCTTTTTTTCTTTTTTAAATAATATAAAAATAATTTTATTTTATGCCTAAAACCGTAAATTATACTGATAATATAATAACAATGAAAATATTAGTAATCTGATCCAATTATAAATTCTCATACCTAATTATTGTTTCCTTTAATCATAACTACTTACATTTGGTTATGCTTTAAACTATTCAGCGGTTATATCCGGTTTGTATTATTAATATTTTAATATTATTTCAAAGCTTAAAACCTTTTAATTCGATCGTTAAACCATAATTGTATTCTATTTTTGGCATGCTGATGTCAATTTAGTGTTGACA